TTCAGTTGTACAAACACAATCTTCTCTAATATCTTTGAAATAAAAGATAGTTTCGAAATAGGATGAAAATTATTCATATCTAAGGCATCAAGATTCACTTTCTTAAGAAGGAGCTGAACGATAGCATGTTTGAACAATACCAGTAGACAAACAACTATTAACAACAGATAGCACACTTGGACGAATTGAGTTGATCACCTCCTTAAATAAAGTAGATGGAATAACATCACATGAAGAACCAGAAGGCTTCATATGTGCAACAATATCTTTAAGTTGTGACAGAGACACAGAAACAAAACTGGTCAATTTTTTCAAAGGAGCAACAAAAGTAGCAGGATCATTAGTTTCAGATGAAATCCGAGAGTGCATTCCAAAAATCTTACCAGTAAAAAAATTGTAGAAACTTTTCACATGTGTCCACAGAAAAAGAAATTGAAGGAAGGATTACAGGTTGAAGTACTGTATTAATAGTAGAGAAAAGTATTTTTGAATTATGACAATTCTTTGAAATAATGTCAGAAAAATAGTTTGATCTAGCTAATTTAACTGCTCTTTGAATATATGCTTCAAAAATATGCATTTTCAGTCCCCAAAATGCCGTTGTCGTGTAAATGAACAGTCAAAACACATAAAAAGTTTCCAGTTTTTGGATGAAAACGTTGTAGTGTAAACGGCCCCTAAAGCGCTATACAAATAAAGGTGACTTGATCAATGAGTTTCTATGGGAACTAACAAGCAGATGGGTGTGGTCCAATGAGTAACTATGTCAACTAATGAGTGGAACTAAGGCGACAAACAAGGCACACAGCAGACAGGGGCAGAACACACACAGCGAACATGTAACACAGCCCCCCACCTAGGGAGCCGATACCAGACACTCCAAACAAAAGTTGACAAAACAGAAAACACACAAAAAGTCCAGGGACCTGTACCATTATGGTAGTTGAACAAATTCAGAGTTACAGGATTAGTTTCGAGTTGACAAAACCAAACTACTCCAATCCGGCTTTGTTGGTACCATGATACTGATCATCAGCTTTTTTTGTTAACTCTGGCTTTGATCCTGAGTTTGTGGAGCACGTGCACATGAATGTATGACATCAGCGCTAAACAGCCAATCACATGCCTTGCAACACAGAGCAAGTGTATATATTTTTTTTAATATAGTGACCTTGAATTTGGAGGAAGAGAAACTGGGGGAGTGACATATTTGCGTCAGACATGTGTCACTTTGCTGTCAGGTTAGCTGTGGAGTGTAAGTTACTATGGTAATAAGCGCCACTAAAAGCCAAGTCACTTTCATGGTACCTAAAACCCAGGATTGGTGCAAACTAAACTGAATCTTACCTGGCTAGCCAGCAAATCCGGCTTCATGCAAAAATATGCATTTTCAGTCCCCAAAATGCCGTTGTCGTGTAAATGAACAGTCAAAACACATAAAAAGTTTCCAGTTTTTGGATGAAAACGTTGTAGTGTAAACGGCCCCTAAAGCGCTATACAAATAAAGGTGACTTGATCAATGAGTTTCTATGGGAACTAACAAGCAGATGGGTGTGGTCCAATGAGTAACTATGTCAACTAATGAGTGGAACTAAGGCGACAAACAAGGCACACAGCAGACAGGGGCAGAACACACACAGCGAACATGTAACACAGCCCCCCACCTAGGGAGCCGATACCAGACACTCCAAACAAAAGTTGACAAAACAGAAAACACACAAAAAGTCCAGGGACCTGTAACATGATGGTAGTTGAACAAATTCAGAGTTACAGGATTAGTTTCGAGTTGACAATACCAAACCACTCCAATCCGGCTTGGTTGGTACCATGATGCCTGATCATCAGCTTTCTTTGTCAACTCTGGCTTTGATCCTGAGTTTGTGGAGCACGTGCACATGAATGTATGACATCAGCGCTAAACAGCCAATCACATGCCTTGCAACACAGAGCAAGTGTGATTCACTTCTTGCGAGAGACCCAGCGAGATTCAAAACTCTTTCGCTAAAGGTTAAGAGATTGAAGAATATGAGGAATTTAAATGCATTTACACTGAAGAAAGTACTTGTCCATGAAAGAGAACAAATAAAATAAATTATCTTGCTCTATCAGTGCAAGTGAAACTTGTGAAGTTAGTTTAAATGGTTGATAATAGCGATAGAGACTCTAATATGTAAGATTACATGTAGTCATTTTTAAAGCGTTATCTATTGATTATACAGCTTATTTATATTACATATGACCTGTATATATTAATGTTCATTTAAAATAAATGATTTATAATAATTGTTAAATTAAAATTGCATGTGTATTGATTAATAATAATATAAATCATATAATAATTATATAATTCATATAAAACCCTTCTAATTAATTATCATTAAATCCAGACAATTTTGTTGTTAATATATATATATATATATATATATATATATATTTTTTTTTTTATTTGAATACGCGCCCTCTAGTGGCGAAAATTACATATTGTGCCTTTAAAGGATTAGTTCACTTCCAGAATAAAAATGTCCTGATAATTTACTCACCCCCATGTCATCCGAGATGTTCATGTCTTTCTGTCTTCAGTCGCAAAGAAATTAAGGTTTTTGAGGAAAACGTTCCAGGATTTTACTCCGTATAATGGACTTTAATGGGAACCAGCGGGCTGAAGGTCCAAATTGCAGTTTCAGTGCAGCTTCAAAGGGCTCTACACGATCCCAGCCGAGGAATAAGGGTCTTATCTAATGAAATGATCAGTCATTTTCTAAAAAAAAACAAAAAACAAAACATTTATATACTTTTTAACCACCAATGTTAGTCGTACACTAGCTGGACTTCACGCATGATGTAATCACGTTGGAAAGGTCACGCGTGACGGAGGCGGAAGCACTGACCCAGTGTTTACAAACCGAACGTGCAAAGAAAGTCAAACGCACTTTACAAAAAAAGTAATTGTTGTTTATTTTTTAACACAATTACAAAACTATTATAACATCTCAAATACTAAAATAAATAATAAAATGTTTTTGCATAACTCTTGATGAGTTTGACTGACAGCTGTTTTAGGCACTTATGAATTATCCAGGTTGTCTCGGGCAGGAATTCGTGTGTGTTCACCCATTCAGTTAACCTATAATTTGCAGCTGTATGTTAGAAAATGTTAGAAAAACAGCAGCAATGCATAATTCTGTAAAAAGTACTATTAAAAACTTGCACTGGCACGGAAGAGAACCCGTCCATCAGGCCGCAAATAACGGTAGACTTTTCAGTTCCAAGCGCAGGCTGATCATGTTCATTCTGTAAAGCCGGGAACACAACTGTCAGGCCGATAATGAATGTAATTTGGACTCAGTTAATGTTTGTTTTCATTCGGTGTTTAAAGTCATTTAGTGTGCGGTGTCTAAAAAATTTAAGACCAGCTGTTGCCAGTCGTCCTCACAAAGATTATTTTTATAATATTTTTAACTGACGGCGGCGACTAACTGCGCTTGTTTCCGAATATGTAGGCCTAGCCTAACGAATTAACAAATAAAAAAAATCGCAAACATGACATTTCTGAATAAAATAATTTTATACACTTTAATTATAGGCCCTTTGTAATATATTTGAGGAAATATGATGAGGAAATACAGTTCCATGAATAGGCTATTTTTGCAGTCAGCATTTCCAGTGTTGGCAGCATAACATTGGGAGCATTACACGTTTACTGTAGAGTGTAGACTGATTTAAATTAAAATTAAAATATACAGATAACATTTAAAATGACTTCTGTTTCAGAATAAATAAAGCAGTATTCAATTTTCGTTTTAAGTACTACTCAGGTTTTGTATGTAGACAGATTGTATACACAGTTCTCTTGTATGACTTAAAGAGATAGTTCACCCAAAATTGAAAATTACCCCATAATATACTCACCCTCAAGCTATCCTAGGTGTATATGACTTTCTTCTTTCAGATGAATCCAATCGGAGTTATATTTAAAAATATATATATTTTCATTTTTGGGTGAACTATCCCTTTAAGTGACAACTGATACATGTCTGTGTTTTCTATTTGTATTAGTTGAGCAGACATGCATTAGTGACCTGGGGTCTCATTTATAAAACTCTCCATAGATTTCATCTTAAAATTGTATGTATGCACAAAAGCTAGAACCTGCGCAAAAATCCCTTTCACGATCTCCAGCTGGAGTGCCTATGAACTCCACCAGAGGGCACTCCACCTCTGACTCTTGCCACTCTATCCCAGACATCTCATCATCTCTGATTGCATTCACCTGTGTCTTGTTTCCTCATCAGTCTCACCCTATTTAAAGCCTGGTTCTACACACACTCATGGCTCAGTATTTTATAGCCTGTAACGTCTTCTTTTTGTCCGGTATTTCCTAGTTCTTTCTTGCCTTGCCTTACTTTGACCCTGGACTGTTTCCTTGGACTCAGTGCTCCCTGTAGTGGCGGTCACCATCCTATGTGTTTGGGCTACTCACTGCTCTGTTGGGCTACTCCCCGCCCTGGTGGTCTGCCTGCTCCACCCTGGCTCCCTGCTCTGCCGGCTCCGCCCTGGTACCCTGCTCCGCCATGGCTTCCTGTTCCGCCGGTTTTGCCTAAGTCCCCAAGTCCTTCTCCAGCACATGGACCTGGCACCCCGTTCCTCCGCCTGTTCCGCCTCCGCTCCACCTCCTGTTTCCTTTTCTTTGATTGTTTGCTGCCTGCCCTGCCCATCGCCTGTTTACTCTTTTGTTTTATCCTGGATTATTCCTGTTTGCTGTTGATTGACCCTGCCTGTTTTGACCACTCTTATAAATAAAGCCTGCACTTGGATCCTCAACTCCGTTGTCAGGCCTCCACGTTGCACAGCCAGGGGAAGATTGTGCGTATGTGCATTTCCACCCCGTCTCCTCCCTGAAATCACCATATATGGAGCTTACAACACCTAGTTTTACTGTGCATAACCTCATCTGCATATCATTTCCATGCATATTCCCATCCACGTGACACCATGTTTAACACCTTCAAAGGTACAAGACATTAAGAAAATATGAGATACGGACATATAAATGCCATTTGTGCCATACACAATTTTTATTGATAAAAATCATCTAGTATCCTTATGTTTTAGAATAACTATATCAAAATATCAATAAAGACAAAACTGTTTAAAATAGTTCTCAGATAAATATTTTAGAATAGAGATGATCTCATTCTTTTCCACTGGCCAAATAGTATTTCAATTGTCTTAAACAATTAAAATCAAATTAAATGTAAACAGTTTTGCTGATAAGGTGAACATCTTTTAGCTATTTATAGTGGAAACAGATAGGCCTATATTTATTGCAGTGTAAATACAATTGTCTGACTCGGCCCGTCACTGACAAAGTATTTTAAAAAGGAAACGTACAAATTACCATTTTCTTCAAGTTGTATCCTTCAAATACAGTGGTATTTTTCATAATGTTGTGGAGATGCCTTCACACGACATCAACACCTCCGTGCAGCTGTGGTTGTACAGTAAAAGTTATTATCATTGGACCTATTCAAACCGGACAATGGACCATTCGACAACCGAATATAGAGTCTCTGCCATAATATCGAAGTAAGTGTGCATCATTGATCATTGTTCTCGCTAAAAATATTTTCTCATAACATGAGATCTGCGGATTAGTTTAAAGATGAATTATTGTGCACCTATAGCACTCCTCCCTTTCATTAAAACATTGATGACACCTACATGCCACAGGAAAAGTGATCAAGCGCATCCACTATAAATATGTCAAAATGTATATAATTTTAGTTTAATTTCTGCATAATGACTTTATGTAATTTCAGTGCTTAATTAATGTGAGTAGAGTGGATTATTTAATGTAAATGTATA